ACATAGCTAGGGTTTCCTTCTAAGTACGCAGCTTTGAGGCGATCGATACTGATGCTATCGTTCGTGCCGTTCTTATCGACTACATAGTAATTAGGTTCGCGTTGAAGAACTTTGAAGGGTCCTTCGTATGCTGATTCGAGGGGTCGTCGATGTGAGTCTCGATGAACGAAGACTTGTGTACTATGTCGTAATTCGGGTTGAACGAAAACATCATTTGACTGAGGTCGAGTGTTAGCAGGTTTAACTGAACGCATAGCGTTTGTAAGCATGCTCGTGTAAGAGTTTAGATCCATGTTTAATAAAGAAGCTGAAGGATCCACGAATTCTCCTGGAAGTCGGAGTGTCGTTCCATAAACGAGTTGAGATGCCGTGTATCCAATGTCAGCTTTCACTGCATTGCGGATACCTAGCAAGACGAGTGGAAGAGCGTCTGTCCACTGTAAAACGTTTGAAGCTGATAATGAAGCTTTTAATTGTCGATGAAAACGTTCTACCAACCCGTTTGCTTGTGGTTGGTATGCTGTCGTTCGGAAGCGAGTGATTCCTAATAGTGTGATCAGACTACGTAAAAGTCCAGATTCAAACTGGCGTCCGCGGTCTGTAGTGATTGTGGAAGGGCAGCCGAAATTTGCTACCCATCGTTCGACGAAAGCGCGAGCCACTGTTTCAGCAGTAATATCCTTATTAGGTACTGCTTCTGGCCATCGAGTGAAACGGTCTACGCACATTAAGAGATATGAGTATCCGTTTGAATCGGGTAATGGTCCTACCGAATCCAGATGAACATGGTCGAAACGAGCATCAGAGGTTTTGAAAGAGCCTAAGAGACATTTGTTGTGTCTAATTACCTTAGATTTCTGACAGCTTACACAGGAGCGTGCCCACTTCCTCACGTCTTTATTCATGCCAGGCCAGCAAAACCGTTCGGCCATAAGCTTGATGGATTCACGAACACCTGGATGATAAAGTTTGTGCAACGTATTGAAGACGTTGCGTCAATAATGTTTTGGTACTGTTGGACGATCCCTACCTGTAGATGTGTCACAGAGTAAGGTTTCCCTACCTGTTCCTATCTGCTTAATACTTAGTTTAAGTGTTGTCGAGGATAACTCGTACTGAAGATCAATGTCTTCTTTTTGAAGCTGAGCGAGTTTAAGAAGGTCGATTCCTTGGAAACTGTTCAAGGAACTTATTCGAGACAAAGCGTCTGCGACTACATTGTTTGCTCCAGAATTGTGTTGTATATCTGAAGTAAACTGCGAAATGTAGTGGAGTTGTCGAGACTCTCGCGGTGAGTACTTATCTGAAGATGAACTTAAAGAGAAGGTAAGAGGTTTGTGATCGGTAAGAAGTGTGAATTCGCTTCCTTCGATGGTATGTTGGAAATGCCGTACAGCACAATATATAGCTGGGAGTTCCCTACCTGAAGTGCTGTACCTAGATTCAGTGTCTAACAGCCGTCTCGAGAAAAATCCTAAAGGTTGCCATGAGTTGTTAACCCATTGTTGTAAGACTCCTCCGATCGCTGAGTCGGATGCGTCTACGGCGATACTAATGGGCGATCGAGTGTCCTGATGCGCAAGCAGGGTTGCCTTAGCGATATTTTCCTTAACTGTGGAGAATGCTTTTCGAGCTGTGTCGTCTAGACTAATTAATTTCGCATTTCCACGAAGCTGATCGGTTAACGGTTTCATAAGGGACGCGCATTCGGGTATGAACCGTCTGTAGAAACCTACAAGGCCGTTGAAGGTTCGCAACTGCTTGATCGCGGTCGGTTCTGGGTAATCCAGAATGGCCTCCATTTTTCTTCTAAGAGGTCGAATGCCTTGAGCATCAATGGTGTGTCCTAAGAAGTCTAAAGAGGTCGTTCCGATTTGGCATTTCTGAATGTTTACAGTGATGCCATGCCTTTGGAGTCGATCGAAAACAATGTCTAGATGCTGGAGATGCGATTCTCTGTCCGAACTTGCTATTAGACAGTCATCAACATACTCATGTACGAAGTTGAGACCTCGGAAGACGTCGTCTATGAACCTTTGGAAGGACTGAGCCGCGTTTCTTAAACCAAAAGTCATTCGTAGAAATTCGTAAAGACCAAAAGGAGTGATGATGGCGGTTTTAGGAATGTCGTCAGTTGCCATCGGTTTTTGGTTATAAGCTTTAACCAAGTCGATTTTCGAAAAGACAGTTGTACCTTTCAAGGTAGCTGTAAAATCGTGAATATGAGGCAGCGGGTATCGATCGGGAATGGTTTTAGCATTCAGACGCCGATAATCACCAGTTGGCCGCCAATCATTGCTGTCCCTTTTAGGGACCATGTGCAATGGGGATGCCCATGGACTATTAGATGGTCGAATTATCCCTAGGTCCATCATGTGGTCGAATTCGTTTTTAGCTAACCTAAGCTTCTCGGGAGCGAGTCTTCGAGCTTTCGAAAATACAGGTGGTCCTGTAGTCGAGATGTGATGTGTAACATTGCTGGTTACACAAGGTAATTTCGATTGCGATTGGTATATCCCGGGGTATTTGTCGAGTACTGATTGGTACAAGGGGTCTATGGTGTGCTTAATCGTGACTGGGGATAACCTGCAACCAGAACAAGGAGTTACGCTAACAGATAACTTAGTGTTTCCGTCTATTAACTTTCGTGAGCGTGTGTCGATGAGTAGATTGTGGTGTTGTAACAGGTCTGTACCAATGATTGGCATAGAGACATCTGCAACCGCGAAAATCCAGTGTATGGGTTTGCGTAAACCCACGTTAAAGTAGACGTACCTTTTACCGTATGTAGCGATCGGTTTTCCGTTCGCCGCCTGTAAACTGAAAACAGACTCGTGAAGTTTGTCGTTGGGATTTGCTGGAAGAACTCTAACTTGTGCGCCGGCGTCGACGAGGTAGCGAACTTTCGTGGTCACATCCGTGACATATAAGAGGCGGCTGTGTTCGCCGGCTACGGTTGCCGTTAACGCGTGCCGTCTGGAAAGTTTCTCGAGTCCTTTTTCGTGTCAGTCGATTTTGAAGTCGGATAATTGCAAGGTTTCCTGCAATTTCTGGAAAACTTACCGTACTGGTTGTCTGTCTCTCGTGGTCGAGAAGTAGATCGCCTACGTGAGACACTTCTACGCGGGGTTTTTGACCGACTATGGTCATTGCGAACTCTAAGATATCGTGTAAGCGTGTGACATAGTTCGGCCATGTCAGTCGAGGTCGATTGGGGTTTTTCTTTGACGGAAAAACCTCGGCCTTAGAAGATCTAGTGATTTCCAAGATTCGATCGGCAGATGCAGCTAGTTCATCTATGGCATTGTTTTGAAATGAAACAAGCACTGCCTTCACCTGTTGAGGGAGTTTAGACAAGAAAAGTTGTCTAAATAGACCATCATAGAAAGTTCGTTGGCCGATGACTGCTCTCATTCTAAGCAACATATCCGTCGCAGAACCATGTTGCAAGTTGATATTGTTAAGAAGTTGGTCTAACCGTTGTCGATCAGTTAGGACTCCTCGTTTTAAAATTGATAGCTTAAGCGATTCGTAAGGTTCGGAAACATCACTAGTAACCATACTAGGTGTTACGTACCTGTTAAACTCGCGCGGTAACGCCTTAACTACCGCGAGGAAACGTGTGCGCGAGTCCGTGATTCCGTGCATGCAAAAATCGGCTTCTGCATAGCAGAACCAGGACTCGATATTGTCGGGCCAAAATGGCGTTAACTGAATCGAAATAGGGGGAATAGACTTAAACTTAAGAACCTTAGGAGAGTGTTCCGTCATAGTAATACAGATAACGAAAAATGTCTAAAATATATCCGGGAAAAAAATTCACGAAAAAAAGTATATCACAATATATAAAATTCAAATAAAGAATAATAATGAATAATAATATTCCAAAATGGAACAGACTCACAGTATATTGACTTGGTGTACCAGATCACGTCGGTCTCACCAATGATGATGCAACGGATGTTCTAGTTTTACAACTAGCTACCAGTAGCACCTTCTATATTTGATCGTTCCCAGTCAGATAGAAATCAGAAGTCAGACGAGAAGAGGCAGGAAAGATATATTTGATTCGTTACCAATATATCGAGGACCTTTTCTATGAGCTGGCTTATGAAACGTAGGAGCTGTGTCCCACGCCGTGTTGAAACGTGATCTGGTACGGATGCATGACCGAAAGCCTTCAGCTAAACAAGTCCACTTAAACACGTGGTCAGCATCCAATGTCGAACACTTAATGAGCTATTGATTTTGGGGAATTATTTACAGCTACAACATTTTCCAAAGGGCGTCTGGAAGTGTATTACAGTTTATACGTTTTGTGAGTAAACCCCTGAGAACAGTTAAGTCCCTGGAGTTATTTACTAATGACAATGTTAAAATTTGACAATGCATGAATATGGACGCTGATATATGTGCACTCTGGGCCGACCTACACGTTCTTGAGTGTTCGTCTAACTATAATTATAGTCTGTGACGTATGTCAACATGAACACTAGATATGTGAATGCAAATAGTCAGATGAGGTGTCAGAGACGTCGATATCATATCTTAATGATATTATATATAAACATTAGTCCTATTCCTAAGGAAATTGCTCACTCATATTCAGATGCGGCTTAAATTTTAAGTGCGTTATAGGCAGTAAGATTAATAATTACCAAGCTATATTCGAGCACGTTCGCTGCTCAATACACAACCGGAGTGAGGTAAAAACTGGAAAGCTATGTTCAGACCACAGATCCTTGTTTAAAATATGAGTTTCATATTTTGTAAAACCACGCTCGCAGAATTAAGGCTTTCCATACACAGTGCTTCCTGAGAATACAAGTAAAACGTAGGAGCTAAAAGAAGCTTACTTGCAAAGGATTCTGAAATTTCATCCCCATTCCGACATAAATACACTGATCTGAAAACTGAAGACTAGAGTTTGTTTACTCGTTCACACTGTTTTGGCGGTTGGACGGTCTTTACTACTACGGCGGGCAATAACATATTTCAGCATGGTTGCAAAAGTAGTCTCTATTATTTTATTTATATTCTATAGTCCGTCCCTAAACCGAAGACGCATAAACCAGCCTCGAAGAAAAAGCAGGTCTTAAAATTCAGTATATGCATTTCGCCCGGAGTTATGGATGAAGACATAGTTAGCCCGAGTTTACTAGTATGTCAATTTGTCTGCTCTAAATGTCATTCTTTCAGGAGAAATATTTAAAAGAACACATAAAAGTGAATAAAAAGCTTAATAATCTAGGGAAAGATGTTCATGTTGAACGTGATAAATCAACCATACATGTTACCGCAAACATCCCTTTCTCTAAAAGGTGAGTTTTGACACTTAGTAATTTAAATCTCCAGGTATCTTAAATACCTGACGAAGAAATTCCTCAAACGTCACAAATTGCGGGATTTCCTTCGCGTCGTAGCGAAATCAAAGGACTCTTATGAATTTCGGTTCTTTAACTTTGAAAATGAAGATACGGATGATGAAGAGGAGAACTAGTTGTTGTGTGTAATAAATGTCGGACAACAATTGTCATTCTTCTCATTTTGAGTAAACAGACTTCATGTCTCCCTAGGAACTGACTTAGTGTTGCAGGAAACTCGACTGTATAGTATATTTTTGGCTAACAAACAAGTCGTTGAAGGTTTGTCGTCATTGATAATCCTTTTGTTCTAAATGATAAGCCAGCATAATGACTAAGGTAACCCCCATATTTCGGCTTTTAACCCTCAGGAATTTTATTTGCACATATTTACAACGTTGGATTAGACAGTCTTCAAAATAATCTAAATGGTCTGAAAAATCCTATTCAATGTGAACATTACCTACAAGGTTTTCCACACAGGTACTACGTTTCAGTCTGCTTAACAAATACATAGGAGGCGGTCAAAAGACGTTCCCTCATTATTACTCGTGTAACCAGTAGCTTTGATTTTCGTGGGCCTCTAATCTTGGTATTATCAATTCGTTTGCTTTGTTATTTGTTTTACATCTGACCAAGATGTGTCTATATCATTAAAGCTCATTAGCTGTACACACTGACTTCTAGAAAGTTAAGTTGCAATGTCTGTTACTACTTTGCTGTGAATTTCCCTCAAAGGAATCGACAGTTCCTACCACATTGTTCTACGTCCAGTATTCTGAGGGAATTAGTCAGTTAGATCCGAGTCCAGGATGATTTACCGCCTAAACAACACGCAGACCAACGAAGCTGTTGGTGTAGACAGTTCACTTGTATCAGTAAACTAGGAGCTCCCCTCTTTTACCAAGTTCTCTGCATTTAGTGGTACTGATTAGTTTGGTGACCGAAGTTTTCCATGGTTCCTGCAGTGTACACAATGTATGTGAGGTGAATGAGATTATTCAGGCGAACATGTAACTTAACAAACCAATATGATAAAATTAGGGATTTTTATCTGAACCTGTCTGTCTCTAACTTAAATTGGTTCTATTTAATATAATAAAGACTACGAGCTACAATTTTGCATGGTAACAAAACGGATCAATATTTATGTGGAAGCTCACGTAATGGTACGTTTATTAGACTGCTTCGATTGAGGTCATTGACAATAAAACACTCATCTATACGATTAAGCAAGCAAGTGTAATTATGTCCCGACGCCCTCAGTCGATGAATATGTACAAATTGATTACTACCTTTGTTTGGTACCCTATACCTGATCCGAACATTGGTTATTCTATTGTTTGACATAACTCGAGTAATGTTGAGACAAGTGCCATATCAGTTAGTGATGTGAGTCTTGATCAACTAAGTCGGTTGGGATGTGTTATGTTTGCCTAAGCACTGTCTGCTGCCTCGTGCTAGCTGGAGTGAGTTGAATGGAAGTTAAGGGCGGTTGAACCAAAACTACTGAGTTCTTTAAGTCAGTGACCGAGCCGTGTTGGATGGAGCTAATTACGAAGTTGAAGTTCGGTAGATCAGATTTGAGACTCGGTTATATAACTGTGAGTTGTTCATGTTGGTGCAGATGCACTTACCATTCATCTTCAATTCCAGTGTTGGTTGGTACATACCTATCCATCCTAGATTTTAGAACAATTTTCTCAATGTTTAGTCTTTAGTTAAGTTGTTTCTGGATTATCTCCATCTCTTACACACATGGTATGGGGATTTGGGCCAACGGACATCTGGGGCGGGCTCTTGGTCGATTATGCTTGACTATAATTATCTGAATCTACGTCGGTAATAATGGTTTTGATGATTGCCCAAACTTAATACTATTTTTGGTAATTTACTGGTTCTTGAGGTCGAAACTGATTGGAAAGCATTCAAAACCTTTGAAAATTTTTAGAATCATTCTAAGCTATTTTCAGATAAGCCGAAAACCGGATATAGAAAAGGAACCAGCCCAAGTAAGTGTGAACTGGACAGTTTATTGAGGAATTGTGGCTGTGAGTATACAGGATGTCCGTTTGACCGGTCAGTTTCTTAATAACAGTGATAAAACTCTAACTTCCACTATTCACTTGATAGCTAAGGAGACTTCGTTTGTTCTATGTTGCGTTCATCCTTGATTGATTTATTATGGTGCAAAACGTTTTTTTGGTATATACAGCTGATGTCAAATACGTTCCTAAATAATCATTCAAGATGTGTGACTACATCTTTGAGTTTCCTCTTACTTACTGCTCAACGTGGTTATTCACTATGTACTAAGAAATGTAGCCGTTTCTAATGACGGTTAATCATACTGTTAGCTGATAAGATTTTAGTTGTTCATTTCTATATAGTAGTGCGACCAATAGATTAATATAAAGATGTAGGTTATCTCGGTGAGAATAATACAACTGGTTGAATATACTTGAGGTCTTCCCAACATCAATTATTCGATACATGAGGTTTTCGTGACACCAGATTTGTCTTATCCGATAACTTTGGTAATTTAAGCTAGGAGCAGGTTGGTAAATCCTAACTACTTACACTTGGGTCACTTATGTGCCGATTTTGGGAGATAACAGCGGTACACCCTCAAAAACTTAAGTCAGACATCTGCTGGAAAACACAATTCTCAGCTCCATAAAATTCTTCAGGGATTTACACAATCAGGTTTATAAAATTGCTGTAGCTGTATCTACTTCCAAATCAATGCTAATGAACAGAATTCTCGGGGGTTCTTTCATTTAGGTTTCTGTAGGTAAATCTGAGAAAATTCATTTTCCCGTACGTTTTTATCGGACATTTTTTTATTATACTCCGGTGTTGTATTGTGTACAGAAATTTGTAGCTGTTGAAGATAGTGTTAGAGCTACGAAGATGAAGTGATTCGAATGAAAAAAACTTATTCATAGACGAAGTCTTGGAGATTCGTCAGCTCAAGCCTGATCTATGCGTATAGAAGTGAAGTATCCAGTCTGTCGATTCACCATGGTCCGAATAACCCCTCTTGTTAGTTATTTCACCATGTGTTCGTTTTCTGTTCCTTATCTTCTCATATCCTTCAAGCGACAGTTACTTTTCTTACTCCGATATCTTATTTTATAAATTGATGTGAGATGCATCCATTTCCATATATATCTTCCTTATAACTGTTAAGTGTACAGTCTTTAAATAACTTTGACTCGAAGTTGGTTTTTTAGTACTTATAATGACGCAACAATCCTCTATTTTTATTGTACACCACTGTATATCAAGGAATATTTATTTACATAATTCTATAGTCGCAGTAAGTAAAATCGACGGAAAGAGGATTATTTTTTAGCTAAAATGTCTTAATTGTTTTAATATTTAGTGCTTAAATACTCTGATCAGCACATTTACGGTAGCACACATTTTGATATTATTGTAATGACATTCCGTATGTTTCGCGTCTTATTTTTAGACATCATGTAACAGAACGACTAGGTCAGTTAATCTACCAATTTATTAAAAAGTGTATTCATCTACTGAAGATCACTTAATTATTTCTTCAAATGACAACCTTATTTCTATGAATGTACGTATTTTCCTTCTAATTGAGCTTGAATTCATATCTATAGCAGTCTCTCAGATTAGGATTTCTTTCTACTGTATGTCATTTCGTGAATTGTTGTTTTTGATTTCTCACAATTACGTTGTTTTCCCCAGCTGCATTAATTACTGTAGCTTTTCATTTGGACTAAATTCTTATCAGGATAAAATATTTTACATCTTTAGAAGTTAACAAACACTTAAGTATCTTATACATTCGTGGGAGATTCTTTTATGTTATTCAAAGTTGATCTGGATGTTCTTTAAAACATTTTGGCTGTCATCGACTAAATTGAGTAGAGTAAAGCATTTCAGTTTGGAAAGGACAGGAGGCTTGATGGCCTGTGTTAGTCCTGGCAATGATGGTCTCTCAGCTGATCCAACTTTCTTTTGGAGGAGTCGACGGATGTAGCCTCAACCACGTGCTGAGGTAATGAATTCCACTCGTTGATTATTCGATGGGAAAGTCGGTAGTCAGCTGACAAGTAATTCATTCTGGGCTTGTGAACTTTTTTGGAGTGTCCTCGTAGATTTTCTGTTTTGAAAGACAAGAAAAATGAGGGCATATCAGGTGCAAATTTGTCATTAAGCAATTTGAAAACTGTAATCAAGTCGCCTCTGATTCTTCTATATGACAGCGGGAATAGGTTTAGCTTGGTCAGTCTAGTACCATACGGGAGCTTCGCTATTCCGGTAATCAGCCTAGTTGCTGTTCTCTGAACCCTTTCCAAGAGTTCACTGTCTTTTTTTAGGCAAGGGCTAGCTGCTTGTATACAGTACTAAAGTTTAGGGCGTACGAACACTGTATACAAAGTCAGAAACGTTTTAGCGTCGAGATGCCTAAAAGCCCTGCGTATGGACCATAAAGTCCTAAAACCTTTGGCGGCTATTGCACGGCAGTGTGCAGTAGTCTTTAAGTCTTGACTGACGATGACGCCTAAGTCATTGTGTGCCTGAACAATAGGTAACTCAGTGTTATTCATCGTGTATGTATCTGTACCCTGGTGGCCAATATGCATCACAATACACTTGGAAGTGTTTATCGGCAATTGCCAGGTTTGGGACCATTCAGATAATCTCTCCAGGTCATTTTGAAGTTCTAAGCTATCGCTCTCCATATCTTGAGATCATCAGCATAGAGTAAGACCGATGACGATAGTAGACGAGGGAGATCATTTACGTACAGGAGGGATAACACTGGCCCCAAAACTGTACCCTGGGGGATTCCACTAAGCACAGTTTCCCAGCTAGACAATTTGGAGTTCACCCGTACTCTTTGTTGACGCCCAACTAGGAAGTCTTTTATCCACATCAATAGATTGCCTCCAATCCCGACATTCCTTAGCTTATATAACAGCCGGTTATGCGGAACTGTCGAAAGCTTTGCTGAAATCGATGTAAGCTACGTCTATAGGTAATTTTTGGTCCTTAAGAGCGCACCAGCTTTCACGAGCGACTAATAAGTTTGAGACAAGAGTAACCTGTTCTAAAACCATGCTGCTTTTCGGAGAGGATCCGGTTTTCATCGAGA